CAGCGTCCGATGAGTTCTCCGACGGGTGGTCCTCAATGTACGCGAGGTGGTGAAGCTTGTTGCCCGTCTCCCTCAAGTCGTGCTTGAACTGGAGCTGCTTGCGCCTGGTCTCGATCGCCTCGTCGCTCCTCTTGCCGCGCCTGCGGCCACTCTTCCCGGCCCCTGCCGGTTGACTCCTCCCGGCCCCTGCCGGTTGCTCGGCCGCTGCCGAGCTCGGTGCGGCCGATGCCGCCCTCTTCCAGCCTCGAGCCTCTTGCCAGCTCGCCGTGGCGCCCGCTGGCGCGCCGAGGCCCTGGTGGGTCGGCAGCAGTGAGTGGCCAGCTCACGCTACCATGATGAGATAGTATGTCGATGGACAAGATATCTCTTTTCCATCTTGAGCCAAAATGGGTGCACGGAGGAGGGTGTCAGAATCACGGTGCGCGCGTCGCCCCTTGGGGGGGGCGACGTACACATAATATAAGTACTAGAACCACGCGCGCGCTTCGCGCGCGCTTAGGTTCTGTCGAGTCACAGACCCAGGAATCCTCCTCCTCCTCCTCCTCCTCCTCCTCCTCCTCCTCCTCCTCCTCCTCCTCCTCGTCTTCCTCCTCATCCTCGTCCTTTCCCGAGCGATACAATAACAACTTGCGTGGAACCCCTCTCGGGCCCATCTTGGGGCTCTCTTGGGCCGCCTTTGGAGCCTCTTGGGGCGTCCTGGGTCTCTCGTGGGGGCTTCTTGGAGCTCTCTTGGCGCCTCCTGGAGCCTCTTGGGGCCGAAAGCTCGGAATTCTACAGTGGCTTTCTCCCTCTGGGACCCCTCTCGGGCACGCCTTGGGGCTCTCTTAGGCCATTTTGGAATCCAATTTTGCCGTCCTGGGCGCCTCGTGAACCGTCTTGGAACTCTCTTGGGGGCCACCTAGGCCGTCTTGGGAGCCTCTTCGGACGTGTTGGACGCGGTGAACACACAACAGGCGACCATGCGAAAAGTATACGTTTTCCCATAGGAATGGGACCGTTTTTGCTTCTTGGACCTCTCTTGGGGTGCTTCTCGGAACGTCTGGGGCTGATTTTGGAAGCCTTTTGGCGCCTCTGGGCGGCGCTTTGGCGCCTCCTGGGATGTGTTGGGCCGGAAGCTCGGAATTCGAGAGTGGCTTTCTCCTTCTGGGACCCCTCTCGAAGTCGTCTTGGGGTTCTCTTGGGCCGTCTTGGGGCCGTCCTGAGCCACTCGTGCGCAGCCTTGGAGCGCTCCCGGAGGCCTCCTAGGCCGTCTTGGAGGCCTCTTGGGCCGTCTTGGACGCGGTGAAAGCCCAAGATGCGAACATGCGAAAAATATACGTTTTCCCATAGGAATGGCACGATTTTTGTTTCTTGGACCTCTCTTGGGGTGCCTCTCGGAACGTCTTGGGGTGCTTTTGGAAGCCTTTTGGCGCCTCTTGGCGGCATTTTGGCGCCTCCTGGAGCCTCTTGGGCCGGAAGCTCGGAATTCGAGGTTGGCTTTCTCCGTCTGGGACCCCTCTCGAACTCGTCTTGGGGCTCTCTTGGGCCGTCTTGGGGCCGTCCTGAGCCACTCGTGCGCAGCCTTGGAGCGCTCCCGGAGGCCTCCTAGGCCGTCTTGGAGGCCTCTTGGGCCGTGTTGGACGCGGTGAAAGCCCAAAATGCGAACATGCGAAAAATATACGTGTTCCCATAGGAATGGCACGATTTTTGCTTCTTGGGCCTCTCTTGGGCTGCCTCTCGGAGCGTCTTGGAGGCTTCTGGGACCGTCTTGGTGTCATGACAGGCGTCTTGGAAGGCATCTGGAGCCATCGGATCGCGTTCCGAAGCCGCCTGCGAACGATCTTGGACGGCGTCCGGCGGTCCAACGAGCCTCCGGGCCCCCCGGGGCCCACATTTGTGGTCGAGGTCCCGGCCCCGGGCCCCCGGACCCAGTGCGCCGTTATATGTATATGTCGGGTTGACGCCGACATTCGGGCAATGCGTACTCTCGAAACCAGCGTGGATTCATGTACGTGTACGTCCTTCTTTCGCTCCTGGCAACCGCAATGCCCCCCCCTGAAACAAGGGGAAGCGACGAAGAGGAGACGGCGCCGGGGCTGTCCACCCTGGCCCACGCGAACCCTCACGTCGACACCGCGCCGCTGCAAAGCAGCCGATCTTGTGCTATTTTTGAATCCCACCAGCCCTCTGGGCGTCGGTGGTTTAGGGGGTTTACTTTTCCACCCCTCCTTCTCCCCCTTCGGGGAAGGGTTTATCACTGTTCCCTATTAATAAACACCCCCTCCCCCAGGCGACTGGGGGCCAACCAGGGTCCATGCCGACCCCTCCCCCCACCATCCCTTGTAAAAAAACACTACAAAACACACTCTGCCTCCAAATTCGGAACATGTGCAGCCAGCCCGATGCGGCCACCCCCCCAACATCCCTGTCAAAAAAACAATACAGAGTACACTTGGCGGCGGCGGCGGTTGCGGCGGCTGCGGCGGCGGTGGCGGCGGCTGCGGCTGCGGCGGCGGCGGCGGCGGCGGCGCCGGCGGCGGGGGAGGGGGCGGCGGCGGCGGCGGCTGCGGCGGCGGCGGTAGCGGTGGCGGCAGCGGCTGCGGCGGCGGCGGCGGTTTGGCAGCGGGGGGCGGCGGCGGCGGCGGCGGCGGCGGCGGCGGCGGCGGCGGATTGGTCCCCAGTAGCTGCCCATCCCAAGACGACTGCTGAATATGCTGAGGTTCGGGCCAGACTCGGGTGCTACGCTTGTGTTGGGAGGGCGGGTGGGAGTGAGCGAGACGGCTTGCGGGCGGGGAGGGGGTAACTTGACCCCTCCCCCTACCCCCTCCCCATGGACCTGGACAAGCGGTTTCGCGAGGTGTCAGAACGTCCAAAACGGCCTCGGCGAGGAAACCAAAATCATTGGTTTCGTTTCCTCTGGGCATCGTTTCTGGATGGGTTGGTGGGGTTACTTTTTAGTCAGCGGCCGCAGGCGAGAGCGCCAGCGGCGAGTCCAGTCAGAGCGGGCCGCGCAAAGACGAATTAACCTAAAGCGGTGGGCCGAAGCCTCTCGCGGCACCTCGGCGGCCAGGCCGGCGAGTGGAAGGGGGCTGACGGCAACTGCTGGGAAGCTGCACTGCCAGGGTGCACGCATGCAACGCGCTGCAAAGATGGGCTGGTTGCCAGGGTGGCTGGCGGCCAGGGTCTGCGAGCTGCGAGTGAATTAAATGCAAGGGCGTAGGCACTCACGGAACCGCGAAAGTACCTGGGTGGCCGAAGCCAAGTGAACCGACTGCCGAAAGCCGAATTGTGTGCCCAATGTAGGGCGTGAGCATCAGCGAGCTGCGGAAGACCAGGGTGGCCAAAGCCAGGTGGACCAACAGCCTCGGATCGCTAGAAGGCGAATGAATTGAGCAACCGAAGCTGCAGCGCGGCCAAAATGGCGCGTGGGGGCACCACGGGGCGGCCAGGGAAGCAACCCAGAGAAACCCAAGAAGCGGGCCGAGGCCTGGCGGGTGCAAGGGGTGGCGCCAGCAAAGTCGCGCACCGGAAGCCCCGAAAGGGGGGGGAAAGCGCGATCCGAAGTCAGCACACCAGGGGTGGCGACAGACGGACACGGACACGGGCTGGTGGGGTTACTTTTTTTTTGGTCGCGGGCGGACGCGGATTCGCAGTCGCCGAGCTGAGAGGTCCGGGCCACGGGCCTGTCAAACTAGCAACGCGCAACCTAAAACCACAGCGGCCGAGCCCGCGCACAGAACCTACAGCCGGAGGGGGCTGGTGGGGTTACGTTTTTGATTGGCGGCTCCAAGGACAGATCCAAGAAGCGGGACGGACTCGGCTGGGGCACAGGGCGTGATAATTAGCTGCAGAGGCGCATAGGCCACGACAGCAGGTGCACGCGCCAGGGACAAAATGACCCTCATTAGGACGCTGGCGGCCCGAAATCGGGACGCTGGCCCGAACTGGGGACGGAAGGAGCTGTCGCACAAGTGGCGCCAGGCTCTGACCGTACCGAACAGCGCGTATGGCCGGTGGCCGCACCGTCCATGAAACGAAGAGGAGGCAAAGGAACAGGAGAGACACGGCGGGCGCAAGGGCACGCGGTAGCAGGAAAATGGGAGGGCACAGATGGAGGCCACTGGTGGGGTTACGCGAAGCGTCTAGAATTTGTCCTCCTGTCGAGGGACAGGCCCGACTTCACCCTAGCCGGATCGACATCGATGCCGCGGGCAGGCGTCGGAGCCCGCGGCCCGACCGATCCACTACAGGCCGTGGACACATCCACGTCCACGCGCTCGCGGCCTGGACTCTGGGGCGCGACGCCGTGGATGCGCGGTCGCACGGGTGCCTCCCGCGCGTGTGGCATCCGCGAAGCAGCGCGCCGCATCCGTGGGGCCTCGGCCGACGGGTCTCGGCCCGCGAGGCCGCGGGCACGGAGGTGTCTTCTCAGTGCACTGGCCCTGCAAGTGCTGCAGCGGATTTCTGCGTGGATTTCTGCCCGGAGCGGCGAGCGAAAAACGGCGTGAACTTCGCGTGGGTTTCTTTTCGTCTTCCTCCCTGGCCAAAGAAAGTCCGCGCGAAAGTCACCTCGAAATCCCCAGGACACCCCGGGCCAGCTCCCGGGCCCACCCTGTTGTTTTCCAAGCGAAATCCGCTCGCCGCCATGAGCCTCGGGAGCGGCCAAGAGGGGGGTGTCCAAGAGGAGGGGGTGCAAATCATGACCGGTGGCAACTGCGCGGCCCAGCGGGGGCGCCAGGGACGTAGTGAAATAATAAGAGGCGCCGCGAAATCTAGGGAAATACCTTGGCCCCCGCCATGACTTTCATGACTTCCCCCCCTAGTCCTATGTCGGGCCTATGAAAAATACCCTAAAAATACACCAAAAAGGTCAACAAATATTCAAAAAATAGTCCCCAGACTATTTTTGGATTATTTTTTGATTAGTTTTGGGGTGTTTTTTACTTGTCGTCGACAATCCCCCTGTTCCGCCCCGCGAAGCCGCCCCCGTGGACAGCCCCGAGTGCACACCCCCCGTCGGCCTCCGCCGGCGCCCCTCTGCGCGGCGCCGGTGCTGCCGCGCGGCACGTGGGCCGCCTGCGTGGGCACGGCCGGCGCGGCGGGCTCCGCTGGCGGCGGGTCCTGGCTCTAAGTCGGGCCTGTCCCCCTACAGGGGGATTTTCGACGAAAAATAAAAAATACCCCAACAACAATCAAAAAATAGCCCAAAAATAATGCGGGGACTATTTTTTGAACATTTTTTAACCTTTTTGGGGCATTCTTGGGGTATCTTTTAAATTCTTCGTTGAAAATCCCCCTGTAGGGGGACAGGCCCGACATAATACTGGCTGGAGGATGAGCTGCTTCACCCTCTCTTTTTTTGATCCCCCCTCTGAAGACGAAGCCAGGACGAGGATCAACTCGGGTGAGGCTGAACCGAGGATCTCTCTGAGATGCGGCGGCTCTGGAAGCTGCATCGGGCGCCGCGGCCTGCTCAGAGCGCTCCGGAGCGTGCCGGAACGCTCTGGACGGATTTCTCCTCGTCCTAGCCCCGTCCGATCCCTGCTGGAGGATGAGCTCTTTCGCCCTCCTGCCGCCCCCCGCCTCCCCCCCCCCCTTCTAAAACAACGGCTAGTCCAGGGCAGACCAGGACACAGCCGGGCCGGCGCAAATCGAGGATCTCCGAGCTCCGGCGGCTCTGGAGGATGTATCGGGCGCCGCGGTCGCTCCAGAGCGCTCAACGGAGCGCTCTGAGAGCGCTCCAGAACGCCACCGAGCGATGCTTCCCCGTCCTGGGCCCGCCCCCCACCCCCACGTCAAGAAAGCGGGAGAGAGCTCAGTGTGCGGGGGTGCTGCCGCAGACGCGCGTATTGCAGAAGCCAGGTTCTGCTGCGTTTCAGGGGGAGCCCTGAAGCTGCTACTCCCTGAGCTGAGCCCGTTGAAGACAAGCCCTTCGATCCCATGCGAGTGTGTCCCCCACCGAATGTTGACACCAATTCTTCGCGCAAGACCTCTTGCAAAATTGCTTTGATGATGGTTCTCGCGCATCCGTCACGCCCGGCTGCGCTCCATCAACCGCCACCTCCGACTGGAGTTCACGAGTACGCGCTCTGAGGACCATTCTGGCGCATTCCCCAAACATGGCCACGCCACCCTTAGCCATCATGCTAAAGCATAGTTCCGCCGATTTGCACTGTTGTGTAAAAACTTTGCGCTCCAAGTCACAGCTGCCCACACTCACAGCTCAGTACTTTGTGCTCCCGCCACAGCGCTGGGCACAATGTAATGAGCTCGGCATGGCGCCCGCTCTCCAAGCCCCACGTTGCTGTCGCCTTTGCGAGTAAGCAATTCAATAAGCGCAGCAGCAACGGCACCGAGAGCAGTAGTATGAGCAAGTACTGGTAGAAGTAATACGAGCAACAGTAGGAACAACAACAATAATACCAACTTCCTGTCACAACAACGCTGTATGCGCACAATCGTAAGAGCAGCCCACACGGAATTCGTACCACCAAGGATGGAAAGATAAATGCGACAATGAGCAGCAAGAGTACGACATTTAGCACCAATCGAAACAATAACAACAACATACTCAGCTGCAATAGTAGCAATAACCGTGGGACGGCCATTCACCACTAACATTGATAACGGAACAGCAGTAACAACAGTGGTAGCAACATGAGCAGTGCACCAGCAGCACAAACACTAATAGCAGAAACAGGTGGCTGCACCAACACTGGCAGTAGTCGCAGTAGTCGTAGCGGCTGCAGTAGCATGGGGTGCATCCTGAGAAGCGTATGGAGGGAGCAAGGGTGACGTGATGAATCTAGTGTTCGCGCTACGAATGGCAGCAGTGAAAGAGTGGGGCTGGGACATCGGCATTGGTTGTTATACTGGTAACCGTAGCAACACATGTACGCGTGAACCATAGCAATACTGAAACGACTAGCAATGGTACGACCGTGCTACACACAATTACCTAACTTAGCACTGATGGGAACACCTAACATTGTAAACGACATGTATGACAGTGTTAAACTCGCCAGGATCTGGAATAATGGCTTGTCAGACGTAATTGCTTGTAACCTGCTGTGGTGGCACGTAACACGTAAGAGCAAACACATCGCCAGAAAACAATAATAATTGCCAATCGCAGCAGGAACTGTAATACTTTAGGGCCGCAAGGTCAGCCATGGTGATATCATTGATAGTAGTGCAACTCGCAGCCGTGGTCGTAGTAATGGTGCCTAGCCTGATGTTCCACTGCTTGAATAAAGGGTGACATTAGTGTTGCTGGGAGTAGCAATTGGCGAACGCGTGGGAGGGGTAGTCGTAGTAGTGGTGGTCTTAGCTGTCCCAGTATGATCTGCCCCCGCAGCACACCCCTCACGCCAAACATTACCAACAATGGCATGGGTAGCAGTGCAAGTTCAATCGGGTTCATACCTGTGGTCGTCTGACATTTAACGCTGGCTCTTGCGCTGCTATTTGCAATCGTCGTTGAATGTGTTTTGGTGTTGTCCTCTGCCGGTGTTGTCACTGTTGGCCGTGATGACCGTCACAGAAGCAGCGTAATGCGTGCCACATCGGCCTCGCTGCTGCAGTTTAGGAAAATTGCGACAACCACACGATTGGAAACTGCGTGAGATGCGTCGAAGTCGAATGCCAGCCGAACCGCCCGTCGTGACCTCAGGTCTAGGGATGGGGGAGGGAAGAAGGCAGGGCTGGCAAGCACATAAAAGGGTTCTCCCGTCCTTGTTGCGCCACTTGTTGGACGGACTGGACGGCGGGCTTTTCCACTTGGGGCGCTCTCCGTCGAGGCGCTTCTCGACCAGCTGGCGCTTCGTGCGGGCGTACTCGAGCACCTTCATGTGATCCTCGAACAAGTCGCGCTGGCCAGCAGGGCCCAACAACTCCTCCAGCACGTCTACCGACACCTGCGTCGCCTTGCACACACGCAACATCTGCTCCTCCCACAGGCCGTGACTTTTTGTTGTTGGTGAAGCATCACTTCTGAGGAACAATTATTGTTGATGCCCCGGGCCCACTGCCGATCGTGCTTTCCCATTGAACTGCCCCCCCCGGGCTCGCACCCGATGTTTGTTCGGCCTTGGCTTCCAACAGCAGCGGCTCCCCTAGGATACTACATCACCATGTATTCAAAATTGCGCTCTCGCGCGGGACGTCCTCACAATTTACTCTCGCGCTCTCGCGCAGGACGCAGGAGTCGTGCTTTCGCCTGAAGCTTATTCGCAATTCCTCAAATTAAGGTCCATGCCCCGCCGCCCGATCTGGCCGTTCAGGCCCGCCCGCCCGACCAGCGCATTGGAGTCCGCCCGTCGGACCCGCCCGCAAGGTCCGCCCGTTTGACTGCTTGAAGCCCGCCCGCCCTCTTCAATGTCCCCGCCGAACCGCTCGCTCAGGTTTGCCCGCACGACCCGCCCGTTAGGGTCCGCCCGCCGGACCCGTCAGTCAAGGTCTGCCCGTCCGCGTGCATGGAAACACTCCCCGCCCTCCCGACCCGCACGTTAAGGTCCGCCCGCGCGGCCCGCCCGTCAGGGCCGGCCCACCCGACGACACGCCCGTTGGGTATCGCTTCTCTCTCCTACCCCGGGTGCTAAATTTTCTTCGACCTCAATCCTTCTCCCTCCCTTTTGCCCCCCTCACTTCGCGTTTCCTCCTCCGTTCCTCGCTCTCTCCCTTTTCCTTTTCCCTCCTCCTCCTCCTCGTACTTCAGGGGCCGCGCCAACTACACGTTGCGCGCAGGGAAGATATACACCCAAAGGGGGGGGCACGGTCGAAGACGGAGAGGGCGGATATCGAGGGTTTGGGATATACGCGTTGAGCGACACGCGAACAACAAAGAACGAACAGTGTTACAATCAATGTTGAATGCCCATATCTCACGTATAAGAACTGATTAAAAAGCCCCGCCCCGGGCTCGCACCCTGTTGTTTACAATGGCAGGTCTTGAAGCTCAGACTGTGATGTTGGCACCCGGTTTGCAACAACAACGGTTCCCGCCTGATGGCTTTTCACGGTGTATTCAAAATCGCGCTCTCGTGCCAGACTTCCTCATACTTTATCCAAGAATCGCGCTCTCGCGCGGCACTGTCCCACAATTTGTTGAAACGCCCACTTGCCAATCTCTTTCGTACTCCACCATCCTCCCTCCCCCTTATCTTCTTCCTTTCTTGTTCCCTTCCCCTGTGTCAGAGGCTGCGCCAACAACACGTGGCAGACAAGGAAGATACAACCCCAAGGGGGGTATTTTCGAAGACGAAGTGAGCGGGTATCGAACATTTGGGATATACGTATTTGACGATACGGCAGCAAGGAAAAGCGAGCAGTCTTATCATTATTGCGGCTGTTGAATCTGAACTGTTGGCCACCCTACAGGCGCCCTGGCGCTGTCACCTCGGCGCTGGCTGCATTTCCTTTGAAAATTAAGCTCACGCTCAAGCCACGAGGGGCCCACGAAGGAAAGGGGCCACGAATGGTAGCGAGAAGGGCACGAAGGGCTGCAACGGGGCCATGAAGGGCTGCAACCAGGCCACGAAGGGCTGCAACGGGGCCACGAAGGGCAGCGAGGGGGCCACGAAGGGCTGCAACGGGGCCACGAAGGGCAGCGAGGGGGCCACGAAGGGCTGCAACGGGGCCACGAAGGGCAGCGAGGGGGCCACGAAGGGGGCCACGAAGGGCTGCAACGGGGCCACAAAGTGCAGCGGGGGGGCCACGAAGGGCTGCAACGGGGCCACGAAGGGCAGCGAGGGGGCCACTGCAACGGGCTGCAACGGGGCCACGAAGGGCAGCGAGGGGGCCACGAAGGGCTGCAACGGGGCCACGAAGGGCAGCGAGGGGGCCACAAAGGGCAGCGAGGGGGCCACGAAGGGCTGCAACGGGGCCACGTGCAGCGGGGGGGCCACGAAGGGCAACGCGAAGGGCAGCGAGGGGGCCACGAAGGGCTGCAACGGGGCCACGAAGGGCAGCGAGGGGGCCACGAAGGGCTGCAACGGGGCCACGAAGGGCAGCGAGGGGGCCACGAAGGGCAGCGAGGGGGCCACGAAGGGCTGCAACGGGGCCACGAAGGGCAGCGAGATTCCGATTCCGAAGTAAGCTGTGAGGGAGTCCTAAGCGTGAGCTCGACTCCTGGGTGCCTGAGTGTCGGGAGCGCGGCGCTTAAGTGAAATCGTGGGTAATTCCACAAGCAAGAGCGCGATTCTTAAACAAGCCTCCAGCGAGAGCACGATTCCAAAGCGCCGAGAGAGCGATTCCTTTATAAGTTGTAAGGAAGTCCCAAGCGAGAGCGCGATTCGTGGGTAAAATGCGAGGAAGTCTCAGGCGGGAGCGGGGGTCCTGGCTAAACCATGAGGAGGTCTCAGGCGGGAGCCGTTGTTGTTGTACCCCGGGGGCCAGGGGCGCAGTTTGACCCTTGTGGCGTCCCCTGATAAAAAAAACAGGGTGCGAGCCCCAGGGGAAGCACTGCAATGGAAAAAACACAATTGTCACAGGAGGGGGGATCAACAATAATTACTCTTGAGCAGAAAACATGCAACAGCAACAACAGCAGCAACAACACCACCACCACCACCACCACCACCAACAACAACAACAAGATCAATACCAGCAACAACACCACCACCACCAACAACAACAACAACGCTACTGCTCGATTCTTCCTCTTTTTCCACTCGGGGTCGGGGCCAAGGCTCCTGCCCGCCACCGAAAGAGACAGCTTTTAAACAAAAAACCGGCGCCACCGCTCAATACCCCCTGGTTTTTACTCGAGACCGGCGCTCCCGCATCGGCAACGCAAGCGGCCCCCCTGCAAACAACGACGCTCCCGCTCGATACTTGCTCCGCTTTTAGTCAAGACTCCCAGAAAGGCCCTGAGGCTTCCTTAATCCCTGTTGGACGTTCATTGCTTTAAACTTGTTTCTGTTGGACACCATGCGTCCGCCCTGGCGCTCTCGCCTCGGCGCTGGCCAAATCCCACCAGCCCTCTGGGCGTCGGTGGTTTAGAGTGTTTCCTCTTCCACCACTCCTTCTTCCCCTTCGGGGAGGGGTTTACCCCTCCCCCTACCCCCTCCCCACTGACCTGGACAGGGGGGGCCGCGGGTAGTTAGAGCGTCCAAGATGGCCCAACACGGCTCCAAGAGGGCCTCAGGGAGCTCAAGATGACCTCCAAGATGGCTCAAGATAGCGGAAGATGCCTCAAGATGGTCCCCATGATGTTCCAAGACGCTCCAAGAGCTTCCCAAAACGGTTCCAAGTACTCACAAGAGCATCACTAGGATGCCTCCAAGAGGCCAAAATGCTTCAAAACCCTAGGGAAAATCAATGTTTTTGGTGTTCTTACTTTTTCGCTTGCGATGCACATCCGAGGCGTCAAAATGGCTCTAAGATGGCTCAAGATAGCTCCAAAAGGGGCCCAAGAAAGCCCCAAGACGGCGCCAAGAGCGGCAACGAACGCTCCAAGAACACCCCAATAGGGGTTCAGGAAACGATTTTAAAGGCTCTACAAGGGCGACGCTACAAAATGCTTCCGCTTTCTTTGCCAGATCCCCTCCAACATGGCTCTACCAGCGCCTCTGAAGCCTCCAAGAGCGCTTCAAGAGCGCCCCAAACGACGCCCAAGAGGCGTCCAAGAGGCTCGCAAGGTCGTCAAAGATGGGCCAAGACGGCTCCCTGAGAGCCTCGGGAAGCCCAAGACACCTTCCAAGATGGCTGACGATTGCGCGACCTGCCTCAAGATGGCTCCGACGATGTTTCAAGACGTTCCAAGACTGCTCCAAAACGATTCCAACAGGCTGGCTGCGGGGAGCGGTCAGAGCGTCCAAAACGGCCTCGGCGAGGAAGCCAAAATCATTGATTTTACTATGGTTTTGGCCCCATTTTGGCCTTCTGAGGGGGCAGCGCAAATTAGAGCTCCCCTCTTCTTTGATCGATTTCCTCCACGATGGCCGCAAGAGGCCCCCAGGATGCCACAAGAGGCCGCAGGATAGCCCCAAGATGGCCCCAAGAGCCCCCCCAAGAGGCCTCCAGGAGGCCCCCAAGAGACCCCCAAGAGGCCCCAAGAGACCCCCCAGAGGCACCCAAGGGGCAAATATGGCCCCAAGAAGCGCCCAGGAGGCCCCCAAAGGCCCCAAGATGGCCCCAAGAGGTCCCAAGAGGCCCCCAGGAGGCCCCAAAGAGGATCCCGAACGGCCCACAGAGGCCCCCCCGAGGCACCCAAGACGCCGAAAAGCCCCTCAGGACGACCCTCTACTCGCCTGGGCGTCGTTTCTGGACGGGCTGGTGGGGATGCGCGAAGCGTCTAGAATTTCCTCTGAAAATTCGCCGGCCCAACGGGCCAAGGGCGTGCTAAGATCTCGGGCTACACGTTTCCAATTTCTAGTTCGCGCGCGCGAGGCGGCCTCTGGGAGTCCTGGAACGAAAAATACCCCGGCCGAGGTCCGGGAGACTCCTGGCAAGGTCCCCGCAAGGTTCCCAAGAGCGCCCCAGACGCCCCCCAGACAGTCCAAGAGGCCCCGAGTCGCCGAAAGATCGTTCCAAGACGCCCAAGATGGCCTCCAGACAGCCCTAGAGGCCGCCAAAAATGAGCCCAAGACGGCCCCAGAGCACTGAAAGGCAGCCCAGAAGGCCCCTCAAGACGGCCCCAGGGAATCTCATAAGACCCCAAGAGCGGTACCCCAAGCTGCCATGTCCGGCCCTTTCCCGCGAGATCCCTCGCCCCTAAATACTAACCCAAGCAGCCCCCAATAGGCACCCAAGAGACCTCCCAAAAACCTCCACGACGTCTCCCACAGACCCGCCTTGTCGACGACCTGGTTTCGTCTGAAGAGTCGCCCAAGAAACCATCGACTGGCTTCCTCCGTCTCCTCATCGTCCGCTCATGCGACAATATGGGCCGGCGGAGTTAGGAATGGGTTTAAGTAGGGTCACGCTCAGGCGTTCTGGGGTTGTGCCG